GTGGGGCACAACGGAAAGAGTTTTGGGACAAGGGCTGTAGGGGGGGGTGGCATTTGTGGTACTGCTCCTCTTTCTGCATGGCTACCAGCTCCTGGATAGCATCTGCTTGGCGCTCCAGGATGCTTATGAGCCTATCAGTGCTTTGCTGCCGGTGCGCGGTGGTTTGCCACTGGTGCGCTGCGTTTTCCTGGTGGATCCTGCTTTCTCTCTCCCTCCAGTTCTGTGCTTTCTCATTCTCTTTAATAGATTGCCGCATCACTTCTTGCAGCATGTCTTCTTTGCTTTTTCGCGGTCTCTTCCTGAGTCTTGCAGTCTCTGAGCAGGCGATAAGAGGGACGGCTGAGGTCTCAAGATTGATGCAGCTGTATAGGCAAAATGCAACATTTAACAGAGGCAGCATTGTTTATACCAGACAGAGTAATGATTCCCCCCGCACTTAAGGAGTAGAAAACACACAGGGTCTACATAATAGCATAATTTTCCCATCTGAAACAGAGCACACATATCCCACGGGAGCCTCAAAATGGTGAGTAAGGGGGACTGATTGTTTCAGGACTGCACTGTCCTCTGGGTTTCTGTGCCTTGGGGAGAGCCAACAGCTTCAGGGGGCACCTACACTGAACACTGTCCCAACATTTTCCACAGGAGTTCGTCCTGGACAATATCTCGCTGCTGAGGGTGACCTGGGAAGCAAGGGAGGGTCTTCTACTGCAATGCGGCTTCTGCCCTGGCCCATATGCAGCTTGCCTGTGTGCAGCAATGGTCCCCCCGTCCCTCGCGGCACAGTGGCACGGACACGTTAGCCTGGTTGGGTCAAGGACCACGGTGGCTCTCCCGACAAACCTGCGCAAGCGCATTGCACACGTTCTGGATGAGACATTCGAGGAGATTACCGAGGCCAATTACCGCGATGTGATAAACCACATCAATGCACTATTCCGCATCTAGGCATGCATGCCTAACCCTCCTCTCCCAAAGATCCTGCACAGAAAAAATTCCTTCCCGAAAAAAAACCCTCTTACCGGGAACCTGCTCTTCTGTTTGTCCTCCACCAAGTACCGGCCGCTGCGACTGGCTACCTTCCTCCTGGCTCGAGAAGAGCTCCTGGCTGCATGGCTCCAGGGATTCCGGGGTGTCTCCATCCGGCCCACCACCCTCACTCCCGTTTTCCTCCTCCTCCTCCTCCCCCCCCCCACACCGGCTCTGAAGTGTCCATGGTGGTGTTTAGAGTGGAGGTGGGGTTAACCCCAAGTATCGCATCCAGCTCTTTGTAGAATCGGCAGGTCGTGGGGGGAGCACCCGAGCGGCCGTTTGCGTCGCAGGCTTTGCGGTAGGCATTCCGCAGCTCCTTTACTTTAATCCTGCACTGCAGGGCGTCCCAGTCATGGCCCCTTTCCATCATGTCCTTTGATACCTTCCCGAAGGTATCGTAATTCCTACGGCTGGAGCGCAGCTGGGACTGGACAGCTTCCTCCCCCAAAACACTGATGAGGTCCAGCAACTCGCCATTACTCCATGCTGGGACTCACTTGGCGCATGGAGGCATGGTCACCTGGAAAGATTCGCTGATAGCACTCCACGCCATGCCAGGCTGAGCAAACAGGAAGGGGATTTTTAAAATTCCCGGGGAATGTAAAGGGTCGGTCACATGGTTGGTTACCTGAGGCCAGGGCAGTAGAGTTTGAACTGATGACCAGAGTGGCTAGAACAGGCATTGTGGGATACTGCCGAATAATTCTGGAGGCCATTCACAGCACATTGGGCGGCCACACTGGCGCAGCAGCACTGCAGCGGCAGCGCAATACTCGCTATTCCTCTCGGAGAGGTGGAATACATGCAGCGCTGCAACCACGAAGATACAGCGCTGCAAATGCCTTGCCAGTGTGGAGGGGGAGTGAGTTACAGCGCTGGGGGCGGCTTTACAGAGCTGCAACTCGCAAGTGTAGCCAAGGCCTGAGGCAAAACTTTGACTTAGTTCAGGCATAGCCAACAGGAGTTACCTACATGTGGCCGATACTCAAAGCCTACTCCAAACAGGCCATCCCAAACCTGTAAAATGTTACCACCCCTTCTTTCTTGCCCTAAAAATTCCTATGACCATTATCTTCACCTATCCGCCACTAAGTCCTGGAGATCACGGTTATGTATGCCACCAGACTGCTAACAATCCCCAGGATAAGAAGACCAAACATAAACATGAGCATATTCTCTTATTCATTTCTCATGATTACTTTTTAAGGCATCATCATTATTGAACCATTTCCGGTGGCTAATTCAAGCTTTAGGGATGCATTAGGGGAGCAATATAAACTTTAATTTACCATTTTCTGATTTTCAGAGGTTTCAGGTTGTCCACCCTCCAAATTCTGGAAAAGCAGAAGGTAATGCTTGGCAACCTTAACTCTACATTACCTAAGTTTTTAGGCATTAAATTAATTAATTAATAATTATTAATGTACAGTTTTGAGAGAAAAAAATATATGTATACATTCAATTTGCCTGGGCAAGAGAATGACTTGAGAAACTGGAAGGGAAAGGGATTTATAGTTAGTCATTTAAATTTCTATTTTATTTTCATTTTATGGCTGGTTGAATTGTATTTGTTTATTTTAGCAAATCCTGATAGTTGTGAGAAAAGACCTTGTTCTTAAAAATCATTATTCTGTTATCAGAATAAGATTGTAATATTAATAATATTGATATTTTATAAATAAGTAATTTAATATATAAAATAAAATAAGTTAATCTTCTATATTTAATATATTTAAAAAGGCAAACAGGAAACAATACACAAACAAAACAACCATCAGGTGTAGCTACATGCATCTCAATTTCTCCTGTGCAGTTTAATTTCATATTGTAATCTCTGCAGTTCTGAAAGAACAAATTGAAACATCCATGAAAATAGAAACAAAAGATGAGGATGGAAAAACTGCTACTGTATTTCACGTATAATTACGAGACCAAATGATCGGTAAGTAGGGTCACAGTTTTTGGTGTTTTTCACAGCACCAAAAAAACCCCAACAAAACACCTGCCAAATATGAACCAACAAACCAGAACCAAAACTTACTCCAAGCAGAGTCAATAAGGGAGAAAAGCCAGAGGCCTTCAAGTTCATTCCTATATTTATTGATTTTACTTGGAAGCTGGAAGTGTTGGATAGCATATACAGAAGATTAGAGAGAGATTACACAGCAGTGTGTGTGTGTAACTGGGAGAAAAAGGTGCTATATTATATGACTGATTAAACATTTAATCATTACCACCTATGATTTGCAGAGATCAACAAAGGTAAGGTAACCCATTATTGTGTAGAACTTGCACTGTTTTGTCTTGGGGCCTGGGCAATATATATATATGGGCTAGCTTTCCAATCAGTTGGACAAATATAAGATATATACACACAGTATAGGTGTGGTTTCCCCCGTACATTCGACCGAGTAATTCAAAATCTAGCCCTTTCACAATCACAAACATGAAACCTTTGTTTCGACTTTATACATTAAAGCAAGGATAAGGGTCTCTTCCAGCCACCCCACTCCCAGCTTTCCCTTTGTGAAATAGGAGAGAAGCCTGATTTTTTGCGTGCCCTTTCTGTAAACATTCAAATCAGTAGTCACACCGTGGCAGCGACATCATTCACATTAGGTGAGGAGACAGAATAAAGAACGAACATACGTGCCCAGCCTCGTCACTTTTGATTAGATCTGAATGTAGCAGATTTTAAACCCTCCTCTGTTCAAGCTTTGGAAAATGGCGACGAATGTCGGGGAGGCGGAGAGGGAGGCATCTGTCAGGGAACCCGATTGGTCATATTTTGCCGCAGATTCCTACTTGAAATTGGGGGGGGGGGGGGGGGGGGGGGGGGG